ATGGAAATTTAGAAGAAGAAATATATATGGATCAACCAGAAGGTTTCACAGTACCTGGAACTGAAAAGAAAGTTTGTAAGTTAATTAAGTCCTTATATGGACTAAAACAAGCTCCTAAAATGTGGCATGAGAAGCTTCATAATACATTAATACCTAATGATTATAAACTTAATGAAGTTTATACATGTATTTAGTATAAATTTTGATAGTTTAAAATCAGGAGTAATTATTTGTATTTATGTAGATGATATGCTTATTTTAAGATTTGTTCTTTCTAAAATTGTAGTAACTAAGTCTTTTCTATTTTCAAAATTTGAGATAAAGGATTTAAGAGAAGTGGAAGTAATATTAGGAATAAAAATAAGAAAACGAATTAATGAAATTATAATTTCTCAAGAACACTTTATAGAAAAGATGTTGAGGAGATTTGGACATTTTGATTCTATATCAGTTAGGACTCCTTATAATGCTAGCATACATCTAAGAAAAAATTTGGGCAAAAGTATATCTCAATATGAGTATTCTCATATTATAGGTACTCTTATATATCTTATGAATAGTACTAGGCCTGATATTACTTATGCTTAAATAAGCTTAGTATGTATACTCATAATCCTAATAGAGATCATTGGACTGCTTTAGTGAGAATACTTAAATATTTAAAAGGAAATTCTAATTTAGGACTCCTATATTATGGTTATCCTTCTATTCTTGAAGTATATAGTGAGGCTAACTGGATTTTTGATTCTGATGAAATAAAATCTACTTGTGGATATATGTTTACTTTGGGTGGTGGAACTATATCTTGGAAGTCTTCTAAACAGATTTGTGCAGCTCGATCCACTATGGAATCATAATTCATTGCTGTAGAAAAAGCAAGAGGACAAGCAAAATGACTTAGAAAATCTCTAAGTAAATATTCCAATTTTTAGGGACATATCTCATAAGTGTCTCTACATTATGATTGACAAGCTACAATAGCTAGAGCTAAAAATAAAATATATAATAGGAAGAGTAGACATATTTGTCTAAGACATAATATTTTGAAGAAATTGTTTAATGATGGGATATTATCCCTAAATTTTGTGAGGTCAGAGATGAACTTAGCAGATCCTCTGACAAAACCGCTTGGAAGGAAGCAAGTGATGGACACATCGAGGGAAATGAGACTTTTGCCTAAAAACAAAAGTTGATTTTGACGATACCCAAACTAGTTTTATAGAGATCCTGTAAAATAGGTTCATATGGGAAGAACAAGTTATTAGTCAATTTGGTAGATTATTCATGATAAATTTTATTGTCTATTCCTATATTATTGAATAATGTGATTTATATTGAGTTAGAGGTTGAGTATTACTCTTAATGAATTTATAATTCTTTTAAGTTATTGTGCTTACTATGAGGCACAACTAATGAATTCACCTATATGAGTGTAAAGGTTGGCCGCCTTTTATGAGAATATATGCAATTCTTTAGAGCACTCATGAAACCCAGATTTATACGCGTGGCCGTAAAATGTTAAATTGTGATGAACAACTATCATTTAATTGATGTAATGTGGATATATAATCTTGCTTATACTCAAAGAATCAAGTTCATAGAAATATTAAATTTTACTTATAATAGTTCCTATAAGTAAAATATTTGTCCTAAAATATTAGTCCATAGTTCAAAATACACCAATGTTTATGTATTATATCTTTTCTTTGATCAAACTTGTATTCTAGATTTTACTTTTCTTTTGAAAATTTGTGCAATTGTTATATTTTTTATGGTTTTCAAAAGAAAAAACTTATAACGAAAATAATCAATACTATTGTAACTGAAATAATTATTACTATTGGTAACATAATAATTATTATTATTGTAACTAAAATAAATATTACTGTTGTAATAGAAATACTTATTGCTATTGTAACATAAATAATTATGATTATAGTAGAAATACTTATTACTATTTTATGACATGATTTGAAAATGTTTAAGTTAATTATCATAATGTTTGTAATTAAAATGACCTTTTTTCCTGGTCTATATAAGGCCTTCTTGGTTATGATGAAAATACAACACCAATTTTTATCTTCATCATTCACTCTACCATACATATATTTAAAGCAAATATCTACATTACTATTCATGCTTCCAGATGTGATTAGTGCAGATCACCAAGAAGCGTCCATTGAATTCTAGGAGTTAGACCACCGTGCACCTTTGCACTTGGGAGGAGTGAAAATCTAACTTTAAGAATAATTCTTCACACACCTCGGTCCATTTATTTGACAAGTCTTCTAAAAATTGCAATTGTCTTGCAGCTCTTATATATTTTTTACAACAATGGGTGGCCTTCTCTACATGTACGATGCCCGACTAAAGTCCCTTCCCTCCTTTATTTAAACTTGGTGTTTATGTGAGACCTCAAAAGGGGATTAAATTTTATTTTGAGCAGGTTAGAGCTTTATCAAAGTTGGGTTAAAATTAGGAACTTACAAGTTAGCAGTAAGCTATAAAGTAATTTGTAACTCATCATTAACTTAGTGTTCACCATTTAGGTTAAACATCGTGATGTTAATGTGGTAGAAAAAATTATGTGGGTTCTATCACTTTGTAGAGCCATGGTAAGGTTTATAATGATCCAATAGTTAGCTATGAGCCATTAATAGGTTTTTGATTACTCGCTAACTCCATCATTTATGTATGGTAGGCTAGTCAACTTGTCACATATTTTTTATGATCATAACATGTACCTAGTTACTTTATTGAATACTTGATTGAGGTAATCTAGAATTTATCAATGTTCGACTGAGTAGCTTTAGGTTAATTGTTGTTTGAATGAGTAGACTTAGGTGGAGTAGAGTTTTGCTATTTTGATTTGTTAATACTCTAGGATGATGATTCTAGGATATAATACAAGGTGCATTCTAAAACCTTCCATGATCACTCTCTCCTACGTGCATGAATGTAGACCCTAATTTTGTATAACAACCTAAGTTAGACCCAAAGTTATCCAAATCATTCTTAAATTGGAGGCTCTTGTAGGTCAAGAGCAACTTAATGATACTTGTTATAAAATAAGGGTTATGTTTGGTTGGGATATGAAACCTTCTAACTTATGTTTATTTAGTCTATTCCCCCCCCCCCCACCCCTCCTCCCCCCCCCCTCACCACCACCAACCTCATTTTAAGAGAGAATTTCCCTTAAGTTTCAAAAGTTTTTTGCCATCTCTAGGTTGACCCATGTGCATGTCAAATCCATCAAGACCATTGATTATAGGTAGCTTTGTTGGCTCCAAATCGCTTGTTGACCTTGGTTGCATAGTCTCCTTCCTTTAAAAATGGAAATCTGATCACCCTCCATCAACATCTGACCTCCATCTTCTCATCTCCCATCCTTTTATGGGAAAGATTATTTTGACCATATATAATGCTGTCAAATTAATGCCTTTAGGTTCCCTTCACCACTACCCCTAACTGAGGATTGATTCAAGCATATTCAGTGATCACTGTGTCTTACATGGCTTCATCACTACAATTAGGTTATGCTATCTAAACTACCTAAGGAAGATTGAAATAATCATATATAGTGGCCATATGACCTTCTAACACTACTATCTTTTTCTTCATGGCATCGTTCCACACCATCTCCATCCTTAGGGGAGGATGGGTTTGAGCTTCCACAATTGCCTCTCTTATTGCTTCAAGCTCATGCCTCCATTGCCTCTAAGAAGAGGACTAACATGATCAACTTTCTTTAAGTTTTTTAACCTAATTATTGCACCACCAATAATGAAAATACTATTAACACCTCAAAAAAAATATTTTTATTTTTTTCGTTTTGTATTGATTCATTTTTCATGTCTATGGAAGAGTGACCCAAGGTTACTCAAACAAAGTAATTGTGGAAGTTGTTTCAAATGAAAAGCATCTTGACTTCTATTTGATCAAACTTATTTTTCATATTACATATGAGATGTCATATATAGCTAAAATAATTAAATCTATCTACTTGACTTCTCGAAGGAATAATTATATAAATTGGAAGGATTTATGAACATAACATTCAACACTCTCATTTACATATTTAACACATAAACTCTACTATTTATATAATATAATATTTTTTTATGGAAGTTAGATGAAACCGGCTAGGAAGAGCAAGCTGTGACGCTAGCGATGTCATCGAGAGGAACTACATAGTGGATGACATATCCTCTCCTACCATGCACATCTTTTGTCATAACTAGTAGAATAACTTGTCCCCAACTTTCTTAACTCTCTCTTTTATTCTGTCTCCTTATATTCAATTTTTTTGTTGTAACTTGATCAATGCCATAAAAACAAAATGGCTTGTTGCTTTAATCATGAAGAAGCACATCATCAATGACTTTGAATATTTGAAAGATCAATTCTTCTGGTGTAATTAGAAGTGTTTTTTTATTTTTTAGCGATATATATATATATATATATATATATATAGACCTCCACCTTCTGACGCCACTGAAGGTGGTCGGAGTTCAACAACAACTGATCGGATTGGAACAATAACAGGTAATGGTCATATTCTTAAGCAGATGGATATCTCAGAGGTTGAATACCATCACTCATCTTCTTCAATGGATAATTCAAAGTTAAATTTGGTAGAAAAGGAATTGTCTTTTCCAGAATTGAAACGTCAAGGCCCACTGGGGATAAAGGATGTATCAGAGCCAACTCCTATATTAATCAAGCATGTGGAAGGCAAAGGTAAGGCTTTATTGGATTCTAATGATATGGTTACTCCTAAGACTCTGAAATCTTCTGTAATGGCGTCGGACAACTCGGCATCTACTTCAGGAATGAAAATTTTTGTTAACTGATTCGGGAATTCAAATGCAATCCCTGGACTTTGTCGCAGCGTGATAAATGAGAATTCTCTGAATTTGGTTGACAACAATTTACATTCTATACTGGAAAAGAATAAAGTGTCGGAGGAAGGTAAAGTTTTTGAGAAATTGCCGAAAAACATGGCAGACTTGGCAAAGGTGAATCCATGGAGTAATAAACCATACATAAAATTGAATTTTAATGAAAATGATGTGGTTTTATCCGAAGATGGGAAGGCAGTGAGGCTATTTGAGGAAATGGAAGAGATGAACTCTAAGAAACTATCAAAGTCATTGGTTATTAAAGTCTTTGGAAGAAATTTACCATCACACATGGTGGCTTGGGAGCTTAGAAGACAATGGAACAAATTTGGTCAATTCCACTTTACTACATTGGGTAAAGGATGGTTCTTATGCTCATTTTCATCAGAAGAAATGACAAAAGCAGCTCATTCAGGAGGTCCTTGGTTCATTAATGGGCATATAATAGGAATGGAGAAGTGGACACCAAAATTTTCAACTGAGTCTAATAAGGGTCTTTCTTCTCCAATTTGGATTAGAATGCCCCACTTACCTTTGCAATGTTGGGATGAGAAGAATGTAGCCTGTATAGCTTCAAGGATTGGAAAACCACTTATGTTGGATGGTAATATATTTCATTGGGGAAGAAGAGAGTTCTCAAGAATTTGTGTAAGAATAAGTCTTGATCAACCCCTCCCATTAGGTGTTTGGGTGGATAGCATATCTGGAAGATTCTTCCAACTGATGGAATATGAGAAGGTTTCTAATTTCTGCTTTGGTTGTGGGAAGATTGGGCACTTGGAGAATGAATGCGAGCTGAAGAATAATAATCCAAAAGTTATGAAGGTTTCTGTTGACAATAGTAGCAGAAATGATATGGGTAAAACTCAAGAGGTTATTAAAGAACCTAATTATGGACCATGGATAATGGTCAATAATAAGAAGAGGAGAAATTACAAGACGAGAAGCAAGACAATCAACTCTAATTCTACCATATTTGTTAAGAAAGCTAGTAATCCTGTTAGTGTAGAACAGGAAGATCATGATATCATGAAAAATGACTTTGATAAAAGCTCCAAATAGGATATCCCAAGGACTCTAGGTGAGATGGCTAACCAACTAAAAGAGGGATCTGTCAATCCGGAGGAAGTTATTTCTGATAATATGGCACAAATCATTGATCCAGTAGATCATATTAACCTGAATATCAGTAGTAGTAACTGCTCTGATCAGGATATCTTACAGAAGAATTCTACCAGCACTCATGGGAAGGGTTGCTTGCGAACTCAAGTAAATCCTTTGGGATTACCTGCGAACTCAAGTACTCCCTATCAATCAAGTGATTTATCTCATAAAACTTCTGATACAAAAATTGTAGAAGAACTGATCCATAATGCTTTGATCAGAGAAGCGTTGGCAGTAGATAATAGTTCAACAGAGGAAGTTCCTGTGGGTAATGAAAACACGAATATGTTCTCATTACTTCTAACAGTTGATGAAGAAGGGAAGGCTGACGACTTAGAGGATAGAGAAGAAGGAGAGCTAATAGAAGAGGGAAAAATTGCCGTTAAAGAGGTGGTTCAAAATGCATGGAGGAATAAAATGAAAAAAGAAAGCAGATGTGATGAAATTCAGAATGCAGTGGTTGGTGTTAATCTGGAAAAATCTGTTCCTGCTGCACAAAAACAGAAGTTGTTGAAAGAATTGAATAATTCAACTAGATCAAAAAAATCTGAAGCAATTCTTAAAGGTAAATGTGGGGGCCCTTCCCCACCTTTATCAAAATGACTTCTCTTTCATTTTGGAATTGTAGGGGGGCAAATAAAAGGGAAGCCTCCCTTTACTTAAATGATTTTGTTAAAAACTGGGATGTTTTTTTTGTTGGGGTGGTTGAAACTAAAATCTCTTCCTTTGAGAGGTATGAAGTGAACAAATGTTTGGGTGATGATTGGGATTATTTTCTTTTACTCTCGGTTGGTGCTTCTGGAGGTATCATAGTTTTTTGGAAAGTTAATATTACAAAGTTTTCTTTAATAGAGGCTTCTTCTCAATGTGTGATTGGGGAATTAAGCCTTTTCAATAATAGTAAGTGGTTGGTATCTACTATTTATGGTAATAAAAAATGCAAATTTGGGAAGAAACCTGTGGGAAGCTTTAGAAGGTAACAACAATAAGAATATCCCTATGGTAGTAGGAGGGGATTTCAATTGTATACTTTCACAAGAGGAAAAGAGAGGTGGGAAGAAGTTCTCTTTTTCTCAAGGTCCCCAAGAAATGGCTGCATTTATGGCAAGAAATGACATTCATGATGTGGGAATTATGGGTCCCAAATTTACATGGTGCAACAACAAAAGTAGAAATGCTAACATTCTTGAGAGATTGGACAGGTGTCTTTTGAACTCCAAGGCTTTAAACGTGATTCAGAATGCTGTGGTAAGACATTTGCCAAGAATTGCTTCTGATCATTGTCCATTAATCCTTATAATTTTTCAGGAGAAGTTGTACCAAAACAAATTGCTTAGATATGAAGACGTCTGGGCTTCTTTTCCGGCTGCCAAAGGTATTGTCTTAAAGACTTGGAACAAACCAGTTAAAGGGAATGACATGGAAATTGTTAATATAAAATGTAAGAGGACCTTAAAGGCACTTCATTTTTGGAGTAGACAAAAGTTAAAGAATTTCAAAGAATGAAATATCCGGTTGAAAAGTGAGATCGCTGACCTTTAGTTAGAAGAAGCTAATGGGAATGGATTGAAAGCAGAGAAGCTTAATCTGCTTAGAGAAAAAAATCATGAATTCAATGTGAACGCTGCTCGGTTAAGCACATGGTGGAGACAAAGAACAAAGCTTAAATGGATTCAGGAAAATGATACAAATTCAAAATTTTTCCATTCCTTTGCTAATGGTAGACGAATGGGAAACTTTATACATCTGTTGAAAAATGATGAAGGAACTTTAGTAGAAGACCACACAGCAATTGAGGATATACTATTGAAATTCTTTAACAATAAATGGAGAAATAGATATGGCTATGTGAAGGGATGGCCTCCATTTTTGAATTCCTTATCGGCAGTTGATTGTAAAATGTTAGAAGAAGAATTCTCTTTTTCAGAACTTGTTGCAGTCATCAAAGAAAGTGGCACTAACATTTCTCCTGGATTGGATGGTACTACTTATTCTTTCTTCAAAAATTATTGGTACATAACTGGTAATGATGTTTGGAAAGCAGTCCAGCAAATTTTTGTTACAGGACATATTTGTTCTAGCTGGAAACAGACTCTGGTTACTCTCATCCCAAAGGAGCCGAATCCAACTTCTCAATCTGGTTTTTGGCCAATTAGCATGTGTGGTACATTATATAAGATTATAGCCAAAATGAACTTAAATAGACTTATGAAGGTGATTGGTAATCTTATCTCGGAGGAGCAAATGGCATTTATAAAAGATTGATCTTTGTCAAACCACATTCTTTTAGCTCAAGAATTGTTTAATAAGCTAAAGATTTCAAAATCCAAAGAAGGTTGGGTGGCTATTAAGCTTGACATGGAACAAGCTTATGATAGTATGGCTTGGGACACCTTGAGATTTATTTTGAAAGAAATGGGATTTCCTTTAAAATTTTTAAATCTAATCATGGAATGTGTAGAATTTCCTGAATTCTTTTTATTGATTAATGGAAAGATCTCCAAAGGGATTAAAGCTTATAGTGGATTTAGACAAGGTTGTCCACTATCCCCTTATTTGCTTATCCTTTGCTCTCAATTATTAACCAATGATATATGGCACAAGGGAAAGAACTTGGGAATCAAAATTTCAGCCAATGCACTTAGAGTGTCTCATCTTTTATTTGTTGAAGATATCTTGTTGTTCTCCCAAGCTAACATGAAAAGTATGAAAAGGTTTAAGAAAATTATCTCAGATTTCTGCAACAGAATTGGGCAGTGCATAAACAACCAGAAATCTGTAATTGTTTTTGGGAATTCTGTTAAAAACAGAAGGAGAAAATCTATAAAAAGACTGTGGGGATTCAAAATGGTTAAAGAGGTGTTTTATCTGGGCATCAAATTGGCTCTGAGAAGGTTGCTGGCCTCTGATTTTAATTATATTCTTGAAAAGGTTAATTCCAAACTTAATGTGTGGGGAAAACAAATGATAACCTTAGCTGGGAGAATCATTCTTACCAAGTCCGTTCTAGCAGCATTACCTGTATTTGTGGCTACTCACACATTAATTCCAAAGGGATTCTTAAAAATATTAATAAAGCTGCTAGAAACTTTATTTGGGATAAACAAGGAGGTCTTCATGGACTTCATTATATCTTATGGGAAAATATGTGCAGATCATGGAAGGAAGGAGGTCTTGGCTTAAAGTCAGTGAGTACTATGACTGGTCCTCTAAGAGCAAAATTTGCTTGGAACTTCCTTAAAGAAGAAGACTCTTTGCTCAACAAAGCTATGAAGGCTAGATACGGTTCCAAATTCTGGGAGAATGCCAACACAGCAAATAAATCAGTTACCTGGAAGATTTTGGCGGAGGGTGCTATGTCTCTAAGACCTATCACAAGATGGAAAATTGCTGCAGGGAAGTCTATAAACATTCTTAAAGATGCATGGATTATAGATAGGAGTATAGAGAAATGGCCTACATTTGTGTCCATAGAAAATACTGAATTCCCTAAGCTGGAGAACTTTATTTCGGATGGTTGCTGGAAGATTGATCTTCTGAATAAACACTTTGGAAAAGATCTGGTGAACATTATTATTCAAATTGGAATTGATCCTTCCCAATCCAAAGATAGCATTTAGCTGAAGAGAAGATTCTCGGGCAAAAGCATTACTGCTTTGGCATCATCTTATAATTCTGAAGATAACATAACTGTAGATTATGGAGTATGGCTTAAAAAATTAAAACTCAATCCTAGAATTGAATGTTTTTGGTGGCGACTTCTCAATGAGGCAATTCCAACCAATGGATTCCTAATGAATCGAAGATTACTGGGACATAATTTATGTCCAAGAGGGTGTATTGAACAAGAAAATACGGAACATGTCATGGTTCAATGTTATAAGCTGCAACAAGCCATTGGAATTATCAGAAAATGGGGCTTTATATGTCCGTTGTTTTCCTCTGCAAAAGATTGTAAGTAGCATTTGGAAAGATTATCTGAGTATAATAGATCACTGGCAAATTAATACTGCTCTCTAGTTTATTTTTCATGGAAGAGTAGGAATTCAATCAAGCATGGAAATAATGAATGGAGTTTGAACTTCATTGCCTGCAATGCTATTAGTTATGCATCAATTTCTTCTTCCAATCTATTCATGGATCACTGGGATGCTAACCAGCCATCAAGGCTTAATTCTTATTGGCACCCCCTCTGCCAGAATGGATTAAGGTAATCTTGATACAACATTAACTAGTAACAATAATGGAGGTATAGGTGGAATTTTCAGGGACTCCAAAGGAAGATTCTGACTTGCTTTCAGAATCAAATGCACACATTGGGATAGTGGTACTTTGGAGTTTATTGCCATTCGTTCATTGAAGAATTTTATCTTCAACTGGATGTTGGATGCAAAGGGACTAATAATAGAAGGTGATAATTTCAACATTATCAAACTTCTACAAAGATCAAAGAATAAAGAAACTCGGCTTCTTCATAAAGAGGAGATTGAAGACCTATCATTTTTGGATGGATTTGGTAACATTCTCTTTCACTTTTAATAGAAATTGTAATAAGTTAGCACAATTGTGCTAACTTTGCATTACTTGAAGATTTTCTTTGGGAAGATCTTAGTAGCAATAAGGTTCCTTCTTCTTTTTTTAATGTTCTAAAAGAGGAATGTGATACAATTTCTATCACATAGTAGCTTGTATTTGTTTTCTTCTTTTTAATGCAATTTAGCATTCCTCTCAAAAAAAAAAAAAAAAAAAAAAAAAAAAAAAAAAAAAAAAAAAAAAAAAAAAACAAAAATTTTCACATTCTTCTTCCTAGCGCTCGGTATGTTTTCAAGTTAACATTAAGCAGGGCCATATTCAAGAAAAAAACTCGATCGGTAAACCAAATGCTATCAGAAGACTTGTAAGACATTTCGCTTGAGCGAACGGCAACAGAGGAATGGCGGAGTTAGGGATTAGGGACGAGAGGGGAGTTGAACAAGCGATAGAATTAGGGCTTGGAAAAGAGGACAGCGATCAAGACAAGAAGGACGAGGATTTTAAGCCATGGGAGCAGCATTCGGCCGTTATCAGCATCCCTCGATATGATTACAAGGCCCCCTCCTCTCTTCTGGAGCGCTCCCACTCCGGGTTCCTCATCACTTGCCCAATCAGTTAGATCCTTTGCCCATCATCATTAGAAATCTCTCTTTTGTCTGGTCTTTAAATGTTTTTCAAATTGAAGAATGCTGAGAATGATGCTGAAAAAGTAGTATATTATGTTGATTCATGCTTTGTTGAATTGGAGGGGGCAAAAAAGTTTTCATGACCAATAACATTGTAATTCAAGTTCCCGAGTTTGAATATACAATGTGATATCGTTTCACCACTTCATATTAGAAATATGATTCTTTAAGGTAGGAAAAAAAAAAAGTTTGCTTGGTATAAGTTCGTACAATCACATTATACATCTTAAATGCGAGACCTTTTCGAAAGTTATATGATCTAACTCAAATCAGATCTGGTAATTTGGTTTGACAGACAACTGTTAAACTTTTTTTTTTTTTCTTGGAACTAATAGTTTGGCTATCTGTTCCACAGACAAACTATATATCCTGATAAGTAGTTTAGCTATTTGCCTTAGAATTTATGATTTATGAAAGTGAGAAATTTTTTGATCTGTTTAGTATTGTGAATGGTGTGATTTTACAAATCCTAGATTTAACAAATAAAGCTGGTGAAAAGGGATTTATCAAAATTGTAGGATTTAAAATCATAAAAAATCTGTTTCACAGGGTTTTAACCAATTAACCAAATACCAAATAACTTCATATTTTTCTCTTTACACTGAATTGATTGGCCTTTTATTATGAATTAATTGACATGGTCTATTAAGTGGCTTTAATGTGCTTAGGTGCTTAGTTTTAAATAGTTATTGTTCATTTGAGCGTTTGGTTAATTGTTTGATCGGAGTGTGCACATCGCAAAACAAGCCATGATGTTCATTGATGGGCTGCATGCGACAATTGGCTTGTTGCAATTTGATTATTGTCATCCTCATGCTGTGACTCCAATTCTCATTGTTGGTTGCTGTCTTAATTTATTTTACTTGTTACTATTAAGTGTAGTGTCTACTTTGATGGACATTTTGCTTGTGAGAAAGGAGATATTCCGGTAACAAATATTATTCTTTTCAAGTAGTTATCCCAATTATCTATGTTAGATTCAGTGTTATGGGCTAGTCATCACATTTTTGGAAAGTGCCAATCTGAATTTTGTGGTGGTTTCTTTTGCTACTTATTTTTGGATATTAGAAGATATCACAATGAAATAGCCTTAGGAGCGAATGGTTGGCATGGAGGCTATGTTGCACCGATACGGATACGACGATACGGATACGACACGATATGGATACGGGACACGCTAATTCTTAAAAATATAGGATACGGATACGGCGTGGATACGACATTATAATGTATAAATAATACATAAAAATTAAGAAAGTAATCAAAGTGTAATATTTGAAATGAAAAAAAATTGAAATAAAAGTAAGCATTAAATATTTAAATGTCTAATACATCAACAAAAACAAGAAGATAAATTGTCCAGCACATGAAATTTCAACTATTCAATAGAAGGAATGATAGGATTAGCTTCTTCAGTGGTTTGTCTTTGAGTTTCTATGCCATCTTCAATAAATATCATAGCTTCTAATTCAGGCTCATCAAATGAAAGATTAGCAATTTCTAATATTCCCATATCCTCAAGAGATTCAAATCCATCTCCAGCAACATCCCACATCCTGTTGTCTCCTTCCATATAAGTTGGAGTTTTCCTTGAGAGAAGCCGAAGGTTTGTATGCACGTAAACTAAAT